TTCCATAGGTATGACGCCAGGCCCATATCGTCCAGGTGCCCCCGTACCTCCCTGGTCACGCTGCTGCTGAGCCCAACCAGTGTTATGACCTGGGGTCCCCTGTACGGGCCTTCCCATTGCTTACAACTCTGCTCATGTGCCACTTTTGAGGTATCCTTCACACTCCTGCGGTTTTCCATTTTTGCATAGGTTGCTGGCAGAATTAGCGGCCTTCCTTAGGTCGCGCCAGGCCCCATATCGGCCATTGGGCCCCCGTACCTCCTGGTCACGCTTGCTGCTGGTCCCACAGTGTGAACCTGGGGTCCCTGTACGGTCCTCCCATTGCTTCCACTCTGCCATGTGCCACTTTGAGGTCTCCTCACACTCCTGTGCTTTTCCATTTTGACATAGGTTGCTGGCAGATTAAAAGGCCCTTCCATAGGTTCCGCCAGGCACCCATACTCGGCCATGGGCCCACCCCGTACCTACCCCTGGTCACGCTGCTGCTGGGCCAACAGTGTGACCTGGGTCCCTGTACGGCCTCCATTGCTTACACTCTGCTCATGTGCCACTTTGAGGTCTCCTCAACACTACTACTGCGTGCTTTTCCATTTTGACATTAGGTTGCTGGCAGATTAGGTTTCCAGCCATTCCATAGGTTCCGTACAGGAACCCCCACTATCGGCCATGGGCCCCGTACCTCCTGGTCACGCTGCTGCTGGGCCCACAGTGTGACCAGGGTCCCTGTACGGCCTACCTTGGGTTCCACTCTGCCAATGTGCCACTTTGAGGTCTCCTCACACTTACTGTTGGCTTTTCCACATTTTGACTCATAGGTTGCTGGCAGATTCCAGGCCTTCCATAGGTTCCGCCAGGCCACAATATCGGCTCTCATCGGGCCCAAATTCCTCTCATGGGTCACGCTGCTGCTGGGCCCAATTTGTTGACCTAGGGTCCCTGATCCCGGCCTCCATTACGGCCCTCCTCCATTGTTCACTTTGCCATGCTGCACTTCTTTGAGGTCTCCTCACACTGCATGGTGTGGTCAATTTTTTTGACATAGGGTGCTGGCAGATTTAGGGCCTCCATTGCTGCTGCCAAGGCACGTAATCTGCCATGGGGCCCCTCGTTGTTACCGACTCCTCATGCTGTGACGTTGCAAACAAGGTGTAATTCAACCTCTACATATTGTTTAGACCGCCTTTACGAACAGCGAAAGGCCATTCACAGCTTTCCTGATGTTTAAAAGCGGATAAAGGTTACTCCCTGTGTAACTTAGATGTCAGCCATTGTCAGCTCATGCGTGACACCTGCGCTTGCTCAGGCCCTTTGAGGAGGCCACGCTATTCGGTGAGTCATTGGCAGGACTATGGGCCATGAACGAGGTCAAATCGGCACCTTGGGCCCCCGTACCGCCTGGTCACGCTGATGGCTGGGAGCGGTCCCACAGTGTGACCGGGGTCCCTGTACCGCCTCCCATTGCTCCCTCTCTGCCATGTGCCACTTTCAGGTCTCCTTCACACACTGCCTGCTGGTTTCCATTTTGTCATAGGTTGCTGGCAGTTTACAGGCCTTCCATAGGTTGCTGCCAGGCCCCAAATCGGGGCCATGGGCCCCCCGTACCGCCTGGTCACGCTGCTGCTGCTGCTGGGCCCACAGTGTGACCTGGGTCCCTGTACCGCCTCCCATTGCTCCCACTCTGCCATGTGCCACTTTCAGGTCTCCTCACACTCCTGGCTGGTTTCCATTTTGTCATAGGTTGCTGTATGGCTCCCATTGCTGCTGGCACCCTCACGCCACACTGTGGCTCCACAAAACACTGGTTTTTGGCCCCTGTGATGCGTTTTGACTGGCCAAAGGAGTGTGAAGTGGTGTGCAGTGATTCTAAGATCGACGGCACTCATCTGATGTCATACTGACTGACAGTATTATTTTCTCTTCCCCAGCAGGACTCCAAGGGCATTTAAATTAAAGGTACAGTGTTCTGCACTTATATTAAGTCTCGACTGAAGCCTAGAGAAACACACCTTTTTAAAGTTAAATTCACAGCGAATTTATTCGACTCGAATCGAATATTGTCCACGATATTCGACCAAGGTCCGAATCAGTCGAATCAATTTTTTCATTTCTTCGCCTCATCTCTAATTGTGACACAAAAAGGTGGTCTGGAATACGACCCCCTGATGGAGAGGGGGCGCTATCACACTTTGCACTGACACCCAAACTAAAACTCTTTATTCATTTTTTTTATACAGATAGAACTTTCTTTTGATGGTAATGTAAATCACCACTGGGGGGGTGGGGGCTTTTTTTTTTGCTAACTAAAAAATAAAAAACAAAAATAAACAAGAGAAATGAACATGTTCATTTCTTTAGCAAATAAATAATATTTATACATAAATTTTAGCCAAAATGTATTCTGATCCGTTTCTTTGGTGAAAATACCCCAAATCAGTGTTTATTATTTAGTCTGTAGGGAGTTTATATAGAGGACCACCAAACTATTCTATATTATATAACAGAAACAACACCGACCCCCGATATTCTGTATGCTTGGTGTTTTTATAAAAAACCTTTTTCTTTTATAAATTCAAAATCAAAATGTATTGTGCTCCATGTCTTCGGTGTAGACCTACCCTCCCCCCCCCCCCCCCCCCCCCCCCCCCACCCCCCCCCCACAAGTGTATAGTGCAGGATTGGTTGTATGAATGTTATAGAGCCTACAGGACTTATGGGGAGATATATCTGAAAAACTGCCCATCCTGATTGTTACTGTCAGTTCCGATCTCATATCTGGAAAGGCCCCCAAAATGTCAGGACGATATAAAAATACCCCCCAAATGTCAGGGACGGCTACAAATCCCCCAAAATGTTTCTATTTCTTATTCAGGAGCGGTTACAAATACCCCCAAATGTCAGGGGACGGTACAAATACCCCCAAATGTCAGGACGTCTGTCTGGGTACAAATCCCTCCAAATGATTCAGGACGGTACAAATACCCCCAAATGTCAGGACGGTACAAAATACCCCCCAAATGTCCAGGACAGTACAAATCCCCCCAAATGTCAGGACGGTACAAATCCCCCCAAATGTCAGGACGGCTACAATCCCCCCCAAATGTCAGGACTTGGTACAAATACCCCCAAATGTTCAGGACCTCGTACAAATAACCCCTGTAACGGAATGAAGCGTAGGCAGGACAGCGCAACGGAGAAGATGGGGAACACACAAAGCTTTATTGAAGCACACAAAAGGACAGACACTCAATGACGGGGGAAATGATAGGTAGGGTGATGTGTGCGCAAACCAGGGATGATTCCAGGGCACGGGGGGTCTTCAGCGACAGGCAGGCCAATCTCCCCCCCCTAGGCTTGGGGTCTCAGCCAAGCTCCCTCCGTGACTAGACAGCGGGATTGGAGTCTTGGGCAACAGGCGGGCAACCTACCCTGGGTTAAAGGTTCTCGGGCAACAGGCAGGCAATCTCCCCCCTAGGCTTGGGGACTCAGCCAAACTTCCCTCCGTGACTGGACAGCGGATTGATAGTCTCGGGCAACAGGCAGGCAATATCTCCCCCTGGGCAGGGGTCTTGGGGACTCAACGGGACTCTAGCTGTGGAGTCTGGCCTCAGCACAGCTCCCACCAGCTTTCTAGGGACATCGGGTTCACGGGGACTCAACGGGTATCGATGGCTCAAGCACTCAGGGGCACCACAGGTAGCTATACTCCGGGCATGCCATCAGGACACGGGGTGGTCAGTGCGCACCACAGCGGGGGGGGCCGTTCAGAAACACGGGGTGGTCGGGTGCACACAGCGGGGACAGTTCAGGATACGAAGTGGTCGGTGCACCACTGGGGAACAGTTCTGAACACGGCGTGGTCGGTGCACACAGCAGGCACAGTTCAGGACACAGGTGGTCAAGTGCGCACTAATAGGGACAGTTCAGGACACGGTTGTGGTCGGTGCACACAGTGGGGGACAGTTCAGGACAGGAGTGGTCGGTGCACACAGCAGGCACAGTTCAGGACACAGGTGGTCAGTGGACACAACAGGGAACAGACAGTTCAGGACACGGTTTTTCGTGGTCGGTTTGCACACAGCGGGGACAGTTCAGAACACGGGTGGTGGTCGGTGCACACAGCAGGCACAGTTCAGGACACAGCGTGGTCAGTAGCGACAACAGGCGCAGTTAAGGTAAACGACGTGTGTCAGTAGCGCACAACAGGGACTGTTCCAGGACACGGGTGAGTCGGTGCACACAGTCTGGGACAGTTCAGAAAACGGGTGGCAGTGCCACACAAACAGGGCCAGTTTAGGACAAGGGTGGTCCACGTGCGCACAAAACAGGACCAGGTTCAGGACAGGTGAGGTCAGTGCACACAGCAAGGAATAACAGTTCAGTCTTGGGTGGTCAAGTTGCCACACAACAGGAACGGTTCAGGACACTGGTGGTCAGTGCACACAGCGGAGTCGTTCAGAGACACGAGTTGGTCAGTCGCACACAACCGGTAACAGTTATGCGACACGGGGGGGTCTGTGCACAAAGCGGGGACAGTTCAGGCACTCACCAGATAAGCAGCGGGCAGACCTCAAGCAGCAGGAGGCTCAGACAGGGACGGCCAGCGGTCAGCGTTCCAGGACACAACCAGCGATCAGCAGACTAGTAGCAGCTCCCAGGGGGTTAATCAGCAGCAGACAGACATTCAGGGGACACACAGCACGACAGTGTGCACGGCTCCTCTAGCGCAGCTCCAGGGACTCAGAGCAGACAGGGCTGCAAGAGTGTCAGTAGACAGGCTTAAGATGGCAGGTATCAGCTGTTGGGGGTATGACCTGTTGAGGAGAAGGCTCTTGCAGAGCTGTGGAGACTCCCAATCCTCTTTGGGAGGGGGGGGGGGGGTATTGGGTGCGAGGCAGTGAAGGGGGTTAGGTTGGGGGGTGTATTGTAGAGGGTACAGTCCTGACCTTTTGGGTGGTCTGAAGTGTAAGCAAGGGGGGGTGGACCGGGGGGGCTCGGTCCCCCTAACCCGAGCGCCCTCCCAGCTATCTTTTTGGGAGCAAGATGATAACCAGCAGCTTGGACAGGAAATACAGAGAGAGGAAGGGATGCTTCATGTTTGTGGGTCTCATGAAGATCATGTGGGTCGTAGGATAGGTTGCCTAGGCAACGGGGCCGCCGCCCTAGGGCTCTGTCCATGGAAACCCCACAGACTTGGAATGTACAAGGGGGAAGGTGAGGGGTGGGGGATATGGTGGGGGATGGGAGAGGCACTTGGCATGTGACACTCCCCAAATGTCAAGGACTATAACAAATCCCCCCCAAATGTCAGGATCAGTACAAATCCCCCCCAAATGTCAGGACAGTACAAATCCCCCCAAATTTCAGGACTGTAAAATCACCCCGAAAAATGCCTTCATTTTTGGAAAGTAGTCACTCTGAGTTAATTTAGTATAGAGGCGAGATTTTTGAAGTTGTAATTTTTTTGGTCACAATACTTATTTTGTTACATCCTGTCCCCATAGCTGCAGTACTAGCGCCCCCGTCAATATAACTGGTGTGGGCGTGAGTCAGTGACAATGACTGGTGACAAAATGATATATATATTCTTTTTTTTCTTTTTTATTAACTTTTCTTTTTTTTACCATTTTTTTCTTTTCCCATTTTCCTGTTACTTATACTATGACCAGCATGCCAGTGCTGCGTTACCATAGTGACACTCTGTACTACTCCTGGGAAGGTGAACAGGATTTATTATCACACTATGATGACCCTGCTTCTCCGGGCTTTACCCCCCCACCGGGGAGCCTGGGAATAAACCAGCACTTCCACCAGCTTACCATAGAGATGCTCTCAAGGACCAGAAGGTCCCCAATGATCTCTATTGGTATAGGAAACCAGCAGTGGACTCGGGCATTTTCAATCATTTCCAGATTCGCCCGGATGTAAGCAGCGCTATCACTTTAATGTGGAAAATATCTGATCCCTCCGATCTTAGTGTGTGTCAGAGGAGTACATCCAGGATCTAATAGACACCCAGATTTCTCAGTAAAGAGGATCCGAGTGTCACTGCCTATTGCACAGATCACAGGGGAAGGTTTACATTTAAAATGAACCCCTCAGCCCTCCAGTAAAGATTTATCCCCCTTCATGACCAGGCCAGGTTCTGTTGCTGTTCTCAGCACACGGCACTATTTCACAAATGGTAAATTGTGCGGAGTTGTCGTGCAATGCTGCACCCAAAGTTTATGTCCTTTTTTCACACTAAATAGAGCTTTTCTTTTGGTGATATTGATCTGCTCTGTAACAGTTTTTTACCTTTTGTGCTATGAACAAAAAAAATCACAAAATTTGGAAATAAAAACAATATTTTTTCACTTTTGCTTTGTACGAAAATATCCAATAATAACTCAAAGTTGGTCATAATTTTAGGCCAAAATGTTTTCTCAATTCCGTGTCTTTGGTCAAAAGAAAAATCCCCAATAAGTGTAAATTAATTGGTTTGTGTGAAAGTTATATCGTCTACAAAACTATGTGATGTATATTGGAATTTACGTAGATTTTACTTTCTGACTATCACATTTCTCGAGGTGCTAAAATACTAGGACAGTGCAACAACCCCCTCTCCAAAATGACCCCTTTTTGGAAAGTAGACACCCCAAGGATTTTGCAGAGTGGCATGCGGAGTGGCCATGGAACATTTTAATTTTTTTGCCACAAAATTTTTTGAAAAATGACAATTTTTTTTTCATAAAACAAAGTTGTCATTTTAAATGATATATTGCTCATGCATGCATGGGTATATGTGGAAATGAACACCCCAAACACAATTCTCCTACTTCTCCGAGTATGGGGGGACCACATGTGAGAGGCTTTTTGGCTGTCTAGCTGCATCCAGGCCCCCCAAAATCCAATGACCACGCCTCAGGTTTTTAAAGGGCATATTTCCTCATATCACTTCCACTACCTATCACAATTCAGAGGTTCTAAAATGCCAGGATAGTAGGAAGCACTCCCCTCAAATTACCCCTTTTTGGAAAGTAGATCCCCCTAAGGAATTTGATAAGAGGCATGGGGAGTATTTTACAGATTCATTTTTGTCACAGGGTTTTGAAAATGAAAGGAAAAAAATACATTTTTCTTTTCTTTCTTATTCCAAAAACTTATGACAACACAATGAGATCTGCAAAATACTCACCATGACTCTTAGGAAATACCTTGGGGTGTCTTTCTAAAAATGGGTCATCGTGGAGGGGGGAGGGGATCTTTTACTATCCCAGCATTTCAGGGCCAACATTAGAACCTTCTGCCCCACATCACCACTGTTGAAGGCCGAGCCTTTTCTGACACTTTTTGTTTACATGAAAAAACATTTTTTTGCTGGAAAATTACTTTGAACCCCCCATAAACCAAACAGTAAATATTTTTTTAAAGCAGGAGACCCTAAAGAATAAAATGATGGGTGTTGTAACTTTTCTTTACGTCCACATAGTATATTCACAGCGATTTTTCAAATGCAAATCTTTTGGGAAAAATACACTTTTTAGAATTTTAATGCACAAAAATAAACTCAATATATTGCCACATAATTGCTTTGATTATAAATATAAAAAAGATGATGTTTATGCGTGTTAAATAGTTACCAAACATGACATGACTTAAAATTGTGACAAAGTACATAATCATTTTATTAATCGATCAGGCGAATGCAATATATAAAGCCTTTACAGACGGTCACCAATTCTATATTTTATCTGTAGGAGGTTTAGTGTTAGAATTCACTGCCACTCGCATTTTATGAAAGCTTTGCGCACGATTAACTCACATCGCACGGAATGGTGCATCGCTACATGCTTACATACTGGCAACCGGGGTCAACGCCTTGCGAATTGCAGGAGCGTTGGCCCCCCACCCCCCCCCTCGCCCCCCCAGCCCGCCGCTGGCCACCTCGCCTTGTAGAAGTGTGTGTGTGTTGTGTGTGTTTGCGCTCTGATTATTTTTCAGAGGAGAGAGTAGAGAGAGAGAGATTATACATCCCGGGTGGCGTTGTTATTTCTCTTTTATTGTTGTATCCAGGGAATGTAATAATATCCCGTGACTGCATATAGGCATTAACAAGTTGCTCCTTTTTTAGATGAAATCTCGGGGTGGGGGTTCTATTAGACTCTCAGATCTCTCCTCCTCTGGCCCTTCCCATCATCATCATCTCACCAAGATGCGTAGTGATCCGTATGCTTCTTTTTTTTTAGATTTTTTTTTTTTTTTTTTTTTTTTATGCTTTCCCCCAATAGTTACAAATCGACGCTGTTAAAGTTTTGCAGGCCAAAACAGGAAATGTTGATTGAAATGGTCTTAGCTTTCCGATGTCTTTGGTCATAGAGATGATTGGCAGCCCATTTTTGGTCTCTGATTCAGCTCTATCGGTCAGATCGTAGCGGAAACTGCTCGGCTGCCTGCATTCTGAATTCCCCTGTGGGGACAGGTGAGCATGAGCCCAAGAAAACTGTGGGAGGCGGGGTTTCTTGGTGTTATTTCGTGTCCTTCCCGCTGCTTGTAGGTTAAAAAACAATTCAACTCAGCTAATTGGCCACTAGGATTCGTTTTTACATGAAAGCCGACTGACGCCAGCTACAAAAAAATGGGTTCTGCACTTCATCCAGGTCCCCGCACCCATCATGATGCATCTCAGTGGACCTCAGGGCTATTGGCACTGTGGTGTGTTTAGTCGGGAGGTGTATATAGAGAATGTGTCAATGGAAATGGAAGGGTTTTTTGTGGACCTCCAACTCAAACACAAAATTAATATTATATTATACTAAATCATGTACATACTTTATTGCCAGAAGAATCATGAAGTTATAAATTCATTGAGAACATAGCTTTCAGATTAACCTCCATTGGTCTATCTTTATTGTGCTACCACTAATGTATCCATTTCCCAGAACGTCATGGTCTTCTCCACATCCACACATTCTTTTCTACAAACTCCTCCACATTTTTAGTTCTAATGACTGAACTCGTCCAACGTTGCCTGGTATTGGTATCCATCTTCTTCAAGGGTAGAAGAATAATGGTAGGATTGGTTTAAGATTCAACACATCAATAATGTTACAAAAATGAGATAATACACAAGAAATGTATAGTATTGATCCATTTGTATT